CATGCCTAAACTACATAGGACTAGTATCCCCGTGTAGTTCGAAAAAATTTCTGCAGCAAAATCGACCTTTTTCATCTGAGTTGAGATGAAAATGGTCGGTTTTGCTATTTTTTTTGTGAAAATGTTGATTTTGCTCATCAATTTTGAAAAAGGGTTATTTTCAAAAAATTGTCCTATATAAAACTATAATTATACTTTCCCTTTCAAAGACAATTTTTTTTGAATAATAAATATAAGACAGATTAAACTTCTGAAAGAACATAAATCAAAATAAAAAGCCAAACACTTGTGAGCACGCATTTTTACTTCATGGTTGAACTAGGGCTTTTTTTTGTGATGAGGGAACCTTAGTCAGCACATTCGGTTTAACCGCTAGCGGCCATAGTTCGAGTCCTCTCAACTTCAATTTCAACCATGCGGGGCTTCACCTTAATACTAAGGGCCCATCCCCTAGTATGCTCCCGGCCGAGCGCCCCATCGCCAGTGCCAAATCTGGAATTCACGTCTCAGAAGAGAGAAAAGGTGTATTTTCGGGTTTTAGGGCAAAATACAGGTATGGGTTGGGCTAAAGGGGTTGGGTCACATATATTTGGATTTTTAAGGGCTATTAGACATGGGCCAAAGTAGGAGGGGCTAGGCCACATCAACATCTTGTATTTGGGGCCTTGCCACAATTTTTCCTTAAAAAAAGGAATAAAAGCTCAAATATTTAGCTTTACATGTTCAAGTTTAACATATTCAATTTGTATCGTTTAAAGTTCAGACGTGGAATTGGCCACTGAGAAAACAACTATGTTGGCTATGATGTATTCAGACTATATCAAAGAAATACAAGATCGCTTGCTTAAAATTGTCAAGATGTTCCTCATACTGAATCCGCGTTTCATATTAAATCCTATACAGATTTCTCTTCGGAGGTAAACAGGCGATGACGTTAGCAGAATACATATAACTCAGAAGGATAATAATTCTAGTTGGTGATTATCCAACTAACAGCAAATAAGGAGGAGATTTAAAATTCTGGCATCAACAATAATGAAAGAAATTTATATGTTTCTTTCATAGCCATCGCACATTGAAAAGTGATGTGTGTTAGGGAATTTCAGTCTCCCCACCTACTATAATATGTGCAACTTGGAACCCAACCACAATCAATAAGATAGAACAACCACAATCAAGAAGAAAAACACCAAGATTTATGTGGTTCGATCGACTAACTTCAACCTACGTCCATGGGGGCAACAATACGAAAAATTCACTATGTATCAGTGAGAACTACAAGAGGAACCACTCAACCCTCGTCTCTCAATCTCACAACCTCACATACATAATCAACTCTCATATTCTCTCCAAAGCACACTCCTTGTAATCTTTTGCACGGATAAAGATCATGAAACCCTCTCTCTCTCTCTCCTACATCTTTTCTCTACTCTCTTTTAATTTTTCCTCCATCAATACAAGAATATATATAGGGAAACCAAAATCCTATCTCTAGCCTAATTTTTTAATTAGAATAGGATTAAAACTCTTAATCATGATGAAACCCAAATTCCCAATCATGATAGAACTCAAACTCCTAATCATGATAAAACTCAAACTCCTAATCATGATAGAACTCCGACCCTATCTAATTCTCATGAAGTTACACAAAGAATCAAAGACAAAATCCCAACAATGTGAACATTAGTAGGCTCTTTGCTCATGTACGATGTGACTAATCTAAATTACCAATAACAAATCCTTTCACACTATTCATAACTCGTACTCCTCATTTTAGCTTGTTGGAAATGCCAACTGACGGAATTTGCTGGACGATATCTTGAAATAGCGCTGGTGAGTTCCATGTGACAAATGACCATCCTGTGTAGAGCAGCCTAGCGTGTTCTGTTCCATGTGACAAATGAGCCAAAGGTTTGAAGGGATTGTGTTTTGCCATTTTACATCAATCTCACACCATTTAAACAAACCAAAAAAAAAAGGCACGCAATCACGAAGGGGCTTCTAATTATATGACTCGTTACTAAATCTCATGGAGAGAGTTGAAACGTAGAGTGCTTTTTTCTGATCTGCAATACCCATTAATTCTACACAAAGATATCAGAGTCAAAAGACTATTTTGAACCATCGGCCAAAGTATGCACGAGTTTTTGGGTATATTAAGACAACCCCGAACAAGGTTGTGCCAATTAACTCTAGGGAGAATCTTATGATAGATTTCTTAATACGACTTCTAGTTAACCAGATCCTCTGTCCGATGTGTCTATGTCACGACCCTAAATTTCGAACCTAAAAGGAATATTGGAGCCGGACTAAACCTGTAAAAAATCCTCCAAAAATAAACATTCATTAAAAGACTATCAAAATAATATTTTCACTGAAGTAAAACCAATAATAAATATTCTCTATTATCCCAAAAGCCAACACTAATCCAATTAACTTGATAAAAAAAATATTCATCAATTTGAAATATAACTCGACCTAAAGGAAAGAATCCTGTTATTACAAAACTCTCAATTCATCAACTAAACATCAATGACTTTATTTAACCTTCACCTAGAAGACAATAATAATTTCGAATTATATTTCTTGCTCTGTTCTAAGAATTTGAAAAATCATCAACTCCACCTAGTCCCAAGTCTTTGAAAAGAATGAAAACAAAACAATGAGTTCACAACTCAATAAGTGGATAAGCTGATACATTAAACACTGATTTTGCAAAACTAAAATAAATTGACTTGATAAGCAAAATACTAAAATAGTAAAAAAAATTATAATGCAATATTTTTAAAATATATACATGCAATGGAAATAGGCATATCACGTCTCAATGCGGTCAACACTTTAATACTCCGGTTGACTTGGCAAACCCCACTATTATATATGTTGCGCGCCTATGCGGAAGCGTGCTCGCACACATAACAAGTCGTAAGCACGGGAGAAGAATAACCAATCACACACGAGCACAATTCAAAACTAAAATACGACAGATAAATCACAAACATAGATATATACGTTGTTCGGCAATTTGCCTACGTCCACAGGGAGAGGATGGGGAGATTCCACTAAATCAAGGAGAGTACAAAAGGTTACAATCTCACAAAATCACACAAATAAACCCTCAACCAAATCTCTCAACTTGCTTACAATATCTCCCTCTCACAATGCTCAATAGCCTCTCTAATCTTTGATTACAACTCTCCTCTTGATCCTAATCTCTTCTAAGGCGTTCCATATATATAGAAAACTTAAAACTAAAACAGACTAGGAATTCTAAAACAAAAAACAAAACAAATTAGGAATCCAAATAACCTGTTACTAAAACAGATTAAGAATCATGTTACTAAAATAGATTAGAAATCCTAATAACCTATTACCAAAACAGATTAGGAATCCCAATAACTTGTTACCAAAACAGATTAGGAATCTGCTATCCAACAATTCTCCACCTCGGCGAAGTGTTCCCAGAACTGAGCCGACACTAACATGAGCACCAATGCGTCGTCTCACCAAATTCGGCTGCACCAATGTGGTTGCCTACGTACCCCCTCTCCCAAGGGATCAATCCGCCCGTAGTTCATCCAATGGCCGTCAACGACCTTAACAATCACGAATGTGCAACAAGCTTCTACAATGATCAAACTTATTGTTCGGAACCACCTTAGTGAGCATATCCACTGAATTATCCTTCGTGTGGACCTTAACGATCTCCACATCACCATCTTCAAGAACATCCCGAACGAAGTGATAATGAACGTCAATGTGTTTCGTCCTTGCATGAAAAATCTGATTCTTCGCCAAATAGACAGCACTCATGCTATCACAATGAATAGTAACAGACCGCTACGAAATGCTAAGTTCCTCCAAAAGTCCCCGAAGCCAAATACGCTCCTTCACAGCCTCTGTAATCGCCATATACTCTGCCTCCGTCGTCGACAAAGCCATCGTAGACTGTAAGGTGCATCTCCAACACACTGACGCACGGGTCAAAGTGAATACATATCCCATCGTAGACCGGCGTTTATCCAAATCTCCAGCATAATCCGAATCAACATAACCAATACACATGTAAAAGCCCAAAAATTTGAATATTTTGTAATAAATATTAATAAATACGGAGATGGCATTCACTTTTCAGAGAACGACGCATTCCATGCTCAGACCAAGCATGTTGACGTGAAGCACCATGACATACGGAGATGGCAAAGCAGGAACGAGTTCAAGCTTGTGAAGATTGATACAAGGTACAATCCAGCCGATATGCTGACCAAGCCAGTTTCGCTCGAGAAGGTGAGGCTGTGTGCAGCCTCATATGGCCTCCGTTAAGAATGTTGATGGTCGTGCAAGACGCCAAAGATACAAGACATCTGGATGATGCAATCAAGAATGGTGTGAAGATATGATTGATACTCAATCAAATCTTCAAGTGGGAGATTGTCAGCCGCTCTTTGTTGACAAAGGAAAGTTAGGCACTGAAAGTTGTCGTTTTTTGAGAAAAATAAAAAAGGTGATGGGTCCCACAGTAAAATATTATTAGTGACGGATCCCACCAATAATATTTTATTAGTACATAGTGTTTTCCCAAACACTATAAATAGGGCCCTAAACTCTTAAAGAAATTTCATCCCAGAAACAACTCCTCTCATAGAAAAGTAAGAGAGAAAATACAAAGAGAGATTGTGAGAGTTCTTGGAGTGTATCTGATCAAGAGAGGGTGTTCTCTTTGATCTATTCTTTTGGGATATAAAAGAATTTGGCGTCGTCGTTGCACCGTGGAGTAGCTTCGAAGGAGTGAACCACATATATCTGTGAGTACTCTGATTGATTTTTGTGCCTTTATTTTGTGTATTACGTCTCCGTTCGAGGTGTTATTATTGGGGTGTATCCTAACAATAGTGTCCCTCAAAAAAGAAGAGGCAAAGAACGGCATCCTCAAAGTGATTAGTTTTCTCATGCTCAGATGAAAAAGCAATGTTTATCAAGGAAAGGACTGGTTCATCACACTTAGTGAAAAAATGATTAAATCTCAAAGTTTACATCTCATCTACATCACCAATACCTATTATTTACTATCAACAATCTGTGGTCTAGTACTCCAATTCAAACGAGTTGGATAATAGGCCAGCTTAGTTGGAGACAAACTGCCCAGTACGTTTTCACCTTATGAATATGAATGCTCCATACCCATAAGAATTTAACAACGCTATTATTGAGGTAGAACCGATATGAGTGCTTATTACCTGGCTACAAGCATCGTAATTGTTACGCCATTCACACTGTGTAATATATCCATCTTTGACGATGAATGATTAGTCAAAAAATGCTTTCTTGCCACAAAACCTGGTTGTTTAGGCCCTGGCAGCAAAGCGTGGTCGCTATCGCCACCTAACATCAAAACAACAGACGACATTGTTGGTCTGTCCTCAGGGCTCTCCTGAACGCATAGCAATCCAACTTTCATACATCTTAAAACCTCAGCGGTACCAATTGAGCAATCCAAGGATGCATCAACTACTTGCAAGCCTTCACCTTTCTTCCAAAAATTCCAAGCCTGAGATAATTAAAATCAAATGCAGTTTGTGTGTTAACAATAAATAGATGGCTGTACATAGTGCATCATAAAAGAAGTAGAAGGTTGTATTTAGTCTATGGCACTTACTTCACCTAAAAGATGCTCCTCAGACCGAGAGAAATAGACTCCTTTGTTTCTTTTGCCACTTATAATTTCTACCGAGAGAAATAGACTCCTTTGTTTCTTTTGCCACTTATAATTTCTAATACCAAGACCCCAAAGCTAAATACATCAGATTTTATTGAGAAGATACCATTCAACGCATACTCTGGAGCCATGTATCCGCTGCATTCCATCAATACAAAATTAGACATTTTGGAAACAACAATACTAGACTTGGACCATTAAAATTAGATGAAGAACACATACTATGTCCCAACTATTCTCTTAGTCGTCATTTTTGTTTCTTCTCCCCCAAAAGCTCTAGCCAAGCCAAAGTCTGAAATTTTGGGGTTCATCTCGTTGTCAAGGAGAATGTTGCTTGCTTTAAGATCCCTATGAATAATTGGGAATCTAGAATCTTGATGAAGATAGAGAAGTCCTCGAGCAATTCCCAAAATGATGTTGTACCGTCTTTCCCAATCTAGAGACATCTGCTTTTTCCCGTCTGACCAAAATATTTGATAGTTGATACTTGTTAGAATTGTTCATATTAAAAATAAAGGAGACAATATTTGTTTAATTACGATTTCAGTTAGAATACACAACTTTAAGGGTACCACATCATCTGTAATGTTGTTTGTTGCTACTCACAGTAAACCAAGGACATAATCAATTTTTAATAGAATCTGAATGTTGTGAGTCCTTTAGTCAGACAATCTGCTGTCTGGTCCTTAGTCGAAACATGACTTAGCTCCAGTAGTCCACTATCCAACTTCTCTTTGATGAAGAACCTATCGATCTCGATGTGTTTGGTTCTATCATGCTGCACTGGGTTGTTGGCAATACTGATAGCTGATTTGTTGTCACACCATAACTTCATCTTAGCTTCTTGATCCAGCTTCAGCTCCACCAGCATCCTCTTCAACCATAGCAACTCAGCAACTCCTAAGGCCATAGCTCTATACTCTGCCTCAGCTGTCGATCTCGCCACCACTGACTGCTTCTTGCTCTTCCACGAGACTAAGTTACCTCCTATAAAGATGCAGTATCCTGAGGTGGACCTCCTGTCATCAGCACAGCTAGCCCAGTCAGAGTCGCAATAACCCTCGATGTTCACATGTCCATTCTTTCTGAATATCAGCCCCTTTCCGGGGGCACTCTTTAAATATCTCAGAATCTGGTACACAGCGTCCATATGACCCTTCCTCGGATCGTGCATGTAGCGACTCACCACGCTTACTGCAAAGGAGATATCAGGACGTGTGTGACTCAAATAGATCAGCCTTCCCACCAACCTCTGATATCTGTCACGATCAACTGGTTCTCCAGCCTCAGCACCTAGCTTGAACTTCTGGTCGATCGGTGTAGTTGCAGGTTTGCACCCTAACATTCCTGTCTCTTTGAGAAGATCCAGTGCATACTTTCTCTGGGATAGGACGATCCCCTCCGCTCCTCGAGCTATCTCTATTCCAAGAAAGTATCTAAGCAAGCCAAGATCTTTCACCTCGAATTCCTTACCCAGTCTCACTTTGAGTTGGGCAATCTCCTTCTCGTCATCCCTTGTAATAATCATATCATCCACATATACCGTAAGCATAGTAATGTGGCCTCCACTTCGTCGAAAGAACACTGTATGGTCGGCGTTGATCTGTTGGTATCCCATACCAATCATGGCCCTTCTGAATCTGTCGAACCAAGCACGGGGAGATTGCTTCAGACCATAGAGAGACTTCTTCAATCTGCAGACCTTTCCCACTGTTTGATCTGTACCAAATCCTGATGGTATCTCCATGTATACTTCCTCCACTAGATCTCCATGAAGAAATGCATTCTTCACATCTAGTTGGTGTAGCTTCCATCCACCATTCACTGCCAGAGAGATTAAGGTCCGAACAGTGCTCATCTTCGCCACCGGTGCAAAAGTCTCATCATAATCTATGCCATATGTCTGACTATACCCTTTTGCGAAAGTGCACATCCATGCTCACAAACAACCTTTTTTCCACCGGGCTCCAGCAAACATATCCCTTCTGAGTAGCAGAATATCCCACAAAGATACACTTCACAGCTCTAGGGGCAAGCTTCCCGACAGACGGCCTGTTGTCCTTCACAAAGCACACACAGCCAAATACTTTGAGTGGAAGGATCCCATCATTATCTCCCTTCAATATCTCACACGGAGACTTCCAATCCAGTACTCTCGAGGGCATTCTGTTGATCAACGCTGCTGCGGTCAATACTGCTTGTCCCCATAATGTCTCTGGGACATTCATAGAGATCATCATGCTTCTAGCAACCTCTAAAAGATGTCTGTTCTTCCTTTCTGCTACCCCATTCTGTGCTGGTGTGTATGGACAGGTTGTCTGGTGATGTATTCCTTGAGCTGACAAATATTCTTCAAGGGCTCTGTTGGTATACTCTGTCCCATTATCTGACCTCAATACTTTCACCACTGCTCCGTATTGAGTCTGAACAGTCTTATGAAAATTTTGGAAGCACCCAAACACATCACTCTTATTCTTCATCAGGTATAACCAAGTAACACGAGAGAAGCAATCAATAAATGTAACAAAATATTTGTATCCATTCATAGAACTTGTGGAACAAGGCCCCCAAACATCTGAATGTACCAGGTCAAATGCATGAGAACTTCTATGACCAGAACTAACATAAGAGCTTCTAGTAAGCTTTCCAAACTCACATGCATCACACACAAGTTTCTGTTTATTTGCTTTCTCAAATAAAGAAGGATACAATCTACCTAAAACACTAAAGGATGAGTGTCCCAAACGCTGGTGATGGAGCATTAACTCATTTTCAGCACTCATTTTAGATCATACTCCTGCTTCCTCTATGACTGACACCAATGCTGAATCCAGCCCTTCACGATCCAGATACCACAGTCCCCAAGTCTCCGTCCTGTCCCCTTCTCCTGGAAAATTACCTTAGGAATATCAAAAGAAACAATGCATTTTAGTTGGAGGATGATAGAACTAATGGACAAAAGATTGACTGAAAAGGAAGGAGCATGCAAAACATTGGACAAAGTTACAGAACCAGTACAATCGACTGTACCCTTACCAACCACCGGCTGAAATGTACCATCAGCTGTTTGAATACTATCAGGCGATGCTAAGTGAGTATATGATGAGAACTCACTAGCATTACCTGTCACATGACGAGACACATCGGAGTCGACTATCCATGCTGATGATCTGTCAGGAGACATAGAAGCAAGAGCATGTATGTCATCAGTACCTTTGTTCGGATGAGCATAGGTAGCAGTGTTGCCTCTGACGAAGAGTGAAGTAGATGCCTCCGCAGTCCCATTCCTCAAATCTCCATCCCCTGCTACTTGCTGTTTTTTTTCTGAGTATCGTGAGGAGAGCACGATCCTCCTCTGTAAAGACCACCTCAGCTTCTTCTTCTTCTGCTACTGTCAGATTTGCCCGATTCCCTGCTCCTCTTCCACCTCGTCGACCCCCACGGTCACGACCACGACCTCCGAACTGTCCACGTCCACCCGAATCTCCATCCTTGGATGGCTTGGTGCAAGCATGCCGTAGATGACCCACCGCACCGCAGTTATAGCACTGTCGAGTCTCTCTCCTAGATCCAGTGTTGCTAGAGGCTGTCAGTGCTGACTTCACCACAGGAAGTCCACCTGTCCCCGCCTGCAGCCGAATGCGAGTCTCCTCCTGGATCATAGCAGAGATAGCCTCCTCAAGCGTGGGAATCTTCGGCTGAGCTAGGAGCAATGCAATTCGCTGAGCGAACTCTGATGTTAATCCCTTGAGAAACACCATAGTCCTCTCCTGTAGAAAGGCCTCCCGCTCTTTACATCCTGGGTCCTTACAGCTCGCCCGAGGTGAGAAGTGATCATAATCTAGCCACAGACGCTCCCTGTCGCCTCTCCTATCAAGTAACCCTCCAGGTTCCTCCCTGCAAGGGTGTATCTCACCCGTCGCGACCAGCTCAGGTACGTACTCGGTCCATCAAGCTTCAGATCGATGGTCGGAAGCTCCAACTTCTTTGATGGTTTTGTCGCGCTCTCACCAGCCGACAACTTCATCAACTTCATCAAAGTTGATACCTCCGCAGGGTTCAACTTCTTGATGATCTCCTCCATCGATCAAGCTTCAGATCCAATACCTGTTCACCTTTTTCTTCAAACTCTTGTTGTAAGCAGTGAAAATTTCGACAGCACTTCTGCTGCACAACAAGAGTAAGATTTTCAACAAATTCTCGTTTCTCAGAGGAAACAAAAACCAAAACCAGTTATATATCTCATCGATGTGAGGTATATACTCTTCCTGTCATCAGTTCGAGGACTGAGTCGAGGGATCCCATGCCAAACTCGAGGTCCGGCATAGCGCAGCAAGCGGCGGGCAAAGGGTGGGGGGGGGGGGT